CACATTATGCTATTTAAGAAATTTTGGTTTAAAAATTACTGTATCTGACTTTGAATAATATTTTTCTCGATTCCAATAAGATATTGTAGGGTTTGGAATAGACTTAATTAATCTCATATTAACTCATTTTTCTAGGGGAAGATCCAACATGGTAGCACTACTAGGGTCTTCATACGTGCGCACACAAAAAGAAGAAGAAAAGAGGTTTGGAGCAAATCTAATTTTTAGTGTAAATATAAGGAAATATGATTTTGAAATAAAAAATTACGTATTAAAAGACTATATAAAAATACAATAAAATCATAATTTACAAAGTAAAATATTTGAAAGGGATTTGAAAAATCATACTGTATAACCGTTGTAAAAATAATAGCCGAAAAAATGTACAAAATATATATATATATTTTTGTATATATATACATTTTGTATGTTAATATACAAAAACTATACAAATTTTATATACTTTTTCGATTACCAGATGTAAATAGTTTCTGGCACGGGCTAAAACTGATAATACAACCTGGTTATTCTTTGCTTCAATAATATGCCTAGAAGTGATCCAGGTAGCTCTATTTTTTTCAAATTTTAACTTTTCTTTTTGAAAAAATCAACCAAAATTTTTAAAGGGGGAATTACGCTCCTTGTCACTTGGCCCAACAGTCCATCAAAAAATGGCCCACGTTTGAAGCCCTTACATGATATGGCCCAGGTTGTACATAATCTGAAAATTATTTTTCATCAGTTAGCCCACCCTATTTTTTTCTTTTCTTCGTTCTTCTTCTTCCTCTTTCACGACTTTGCACCCCAAAGTTTCTCTATTATTATATATATTCTTCAATTCTCCTTCCAGATTCAAAGTTGATAATCACTATTAAGATGAGAAGAAGAAATACCACTTAAGAGAATTATTATTTTTGGAGTCACCATTAAAGGTCATTCGAAGCTTCAATTTCAGAAATTGAATTTTTCGATTTTGTTAGTTGTTTGGATTGGGTGTTGGCCCAATTGATTGGGATCGTCAAGGAAAGTTTAAAACTCAATTTTGAAGTGATTTGAAGCAGATTTGAGGTAGATTTGAGTTGAATTTCAGAAATTAAATTTTTCGATTTTGTTAGTTGTTTGGATTGGGTTTTAACCCAATTGATTGGGATCGTCAAGGGAAGTTCAAAACTCAAATTTGAAGTGCTTTGGAGCATATTTGAGGTAGATTTGAGTTGAATTTCAGAAGATGCCCAAAGAAGAAGAAGAACCAGTGAAGCTCCATTAATAGGATTTATTTGTATAATAGTGTAAAATATTGTATAAGTAATGTATAATAGTGTATAAACATATCTTATACATTATTTTATACAAGGCTAATACATTATTTATAAGTATTTGGTGGATTTCTCACATTTCTTATCACTAACATTTTACATTTTCACTATTGTGCTTATATATTTTTATATATACATTTTTATACACTTTTATACAACTATATATATAATATACTTCTTTGTATAAAAGTGTATAAGCATCTCTGATGAATTCTTTGTACGATTTTCACTTGCAATTCTTGATTAAGACTATTCCAAATCTCCACTAAAGGACTTCAAACTTTGTATACAGTCTACTTAGACTAATTTTAATAAGTTCAAACAATACCCACTCCAAATTTCTCATAAAATCATATTCAAAAACTAACAAGATTAGCATTAAAGAAGATGAGATTTTAGATTTCTCGTGTCTGTTTGTGAATTTTCGTAGTTGTGATAGGTATGTAGAAACTTGAGGAAAAAGGAGAATGGAAATATTTCACGCTTGAAGATATAGAGAATAAAAAAACTGGAAAAAAAATTCAGATCTAAGCTTATTGATATTTGGCTACACATTTGCAAACTTGTAAGTGGGCTAAAATAATGCAAGATCAACTTATGGAGTGCATTATTATGTAATTTTGTCATTTTTAAATGTATATATATACAAAAAAAATATACATATTTTTATATATTTTTTCGGCTATTATTTTTGCAGCGGCTATACAATATCATTTTGTCATTGAAAACAGGCACAGAAGGGGATATTTTCAAGGTCAAAATTTTAGAAGACATTATATAAAAATAAGGAATTAAAGTGATAATTTGCATTATCCAATAAAACGAGAGGAAACGTTTTGCTTCAAAGCAGAAGATTTGCTTCATGAATCAGAGTTAGGTAACACTGTTAGTTTTTGAACACATTGTGTCAGTGAGACTAAAGGTGCTCCACTTTAGCATACTTAAGGGGCTAAATATGCTCAAGATTATATTTGAGGAACCAAAATAGACATACCCTCAAAAATAAGGGACAATATTGGTCAAAAACTCAATAATAAATAATAAATAATTACATTCTTTTATAAATAAAAAAAAAAGATTAGCCTGTTAAGAAACTTAGCTCAAAGTAATATATAAAACAAGCAAATAGACAAGAATGTAGGGAGCAAGAGAGGAGAGAATCTTATTTCTTCCATGTATTCCAAGTGTGTTACAAAATGACTTTTCATCCTCTATTTATGGTACTACATAGAGGTATACCAAAAGAATTTCATAAATATGCCATTAAGCATTTGAGATCATGGGGGAGGTATGAGAATTACAACCATAACTCCATAAGTATTAGAGTGGTGGGAGTTATGGAGATAATGGAGAAGAGTAGTGGGTATTACTCATTTGGTGGTTATGGACATCCACTATAATTATATTTTATAACACTCTCCCTTGGATGTCCATAATAATGTGCCTCGTTAAAACCTTACTATAAAAACCACATGAAAAAAAATCTTAGTGAAGGAAAAAGAGTACACATATCTTGTAATACGCATTGTTTGCTGCCTCGTTAAAAACCTTGCTAGGAAAACTCAATGGGATAAAACCTCAGCTAAGGAAAAAAGAGTGCAGCGCATATCTTATTCCCTCGGATGAAAACATCACTTTTGTATTGGGAAAAAACTGAATTTACATTAAAGGTGACGTGGCATGACACGTGTACTGGTCAAATGGTCAAAACATGATGATCAGTTAAGAGGCACGAGTGACAACAGATACGGGGAAAGGAAAGTTAAATAGGCACGAGAGGCAATTTGAATAATACACGCTTCGTACCTATTTAGGTCATATAAAGCCAAGAGATCAGAAGGCATTGAAGACATGGATATGATGACAAAAAGGAGTTTAAATTCAATATTAATACTCAATACGTTAGAGAATTGGTATTAAATAGGAATGATTGTGTAACGTCTTATTTAATGTCATTTATTGCCCATAATTGTTTCATTAAGACAAAAGCATAATACCTTCTCCTAGAATCAACTATAAAAGGAGAAGGACTCAACATCTGTAAGGACACGAAATACTATTGAGATCTTACTGAAATACAAAACTATTTACTGCTTTACCATCATTCACAAAAATATTTTATTTTCGTCTCCTGATTATCAGTAACCCGAATTTCTTTCTAACTTTGACCAAAGATTCAGATTTTTGGTTAAACAACTTTACTTTTCGGAAATGATGCATTCCAATCTCGTATACCAGCTTCTCAAATGCTGGGGTTGGTAATGATTCATTGAACAGATCCACCAAATTATTAATCAAATAAATTTGTTGAACGTCTATATCACCAATCTATCGAAGTTCATGTCTGAAAAGAATTTTGGTGAAATATGCTTTATTTTGTTGCCTTCAATATATCCTTCTTCCAATTGAGATAAGCAAACATCATTATCTTCAGTATTATTGGAATCTTCTCTTCAAAGAAAAGTCACACGCCTATTGTGTGTTGAGTTCCTTGCTTTATCAGTTGCTTATCTTGGCATGAGTTGAATAAGTATCAACAATTAACTGCCTTGTAATATGATAATATGGCAGTACTCTCACATGCAAATAGATTGTTTGAAGAACGAGCTTCAGGAAAATGCTTGCATTTGCATAACTAATAAAATCTTGGCAATATTTGTTAGAATAAACAGATCTACATCAAGTATTCCTTTTGAAATATAACACTACTTGTATTCCAATATCTCCACATACGAATAAAACTATATTTGGCTAGCATATTGTTATACTCGTGGTTCTAGCCAGATATATTAGTGCACCAATTGCACTAGACACAGAAACAAAACATGTACGCCATAATCGCTCTAATCTACATAAGGATTTGTCGAAGCTTTATTTAATAAATTTTTTGGGAACTTAATATGCTTAGAACAATTTAAATCCTTCAAGAATTTTTATTATATGCATATCAAATGTATTGTCAGACCAAAATCTGAAATGGCTCCATTCACCACAGTAAAACATGTCTCCATATAAAGAATACGAGGATATTTACGAAAATCTTGTGCCACAAGTCGTCTTTATGTCTATCGACTTAATTTTTCATTTCACTTTTTGCACAATGGACTATCCGTCCAATTTCATATTTTTCAGGTGAAGTCAATTTTCATTGCTTATTTTTCATTTAGCCAATCATTTATCTGTCCAAATTCCATGACAGATTTGAGCTCAAGATCCTCGTCAATATTAATAATATTGAGCTCTACATTATATCAACAATATCGTTGACGATCATTTTATATCGGTTCCATCATCACACGATAAAGACATAACTTATCGAGATCTCATTATTTTCAGGTGCCTCAGCCTCTTCCATGAGGTCTTATAAAGTGTTATGTCTTGGTGCTCTTATAGAGCACTTGCCTCTTTATTATGATCATCTTGAACATTTGCTTCTCTCCTTCTTCAATGAATTTTATCTTTGGAACCGATTAGTCTATTACGCTTTATGCGTGCCATAAACTCTGTCCATCATGGACTTTATTCTATTTGGAGTATTAATAGCTGAAATATAATATTTAATTTTGGGTCAGCAAATGCGCCTGCTAATATTTGGCAAATGAATTATCATTCTATTTATTTTTCTCTTAATTTCTTGTAACATCTAGTGGACGCTCATTTCATATGCTCTGTAAGCCCATAGCGAACTGCATCATTGTACATTATAGGTGGGAGAGAGCTCCGGGGCTGTTCTATACAAAGCAGAAAAGACACTTTGAAATCCAATTTTGGGGCGAAATTCATGATGAAATTGTAAAATAGAATTGTTGGACGGCAGCTCCCGTCTTAAAGCATCAGACCATTATCCAAAATCCAATACAATCTAGTACCAACTACAAACTATAAGACAAAATTTGATTCTTTTCTGTTCTTTACACTAGTTTAATGGGACCAACAGGACTGCTTTTGTCTCATATTTCATCTATTTTCTGCTACTATAAAACTTCCTCTTACACCTTAAGTTCAATACCCATCTCCGATTCCTTTGTAAAGTTTCAATCGTTTGCGCTATGGCTGCATCCAACTCTTCTTTTGATCAAACATCAGGTACTCTCTATCTAATTATGTTGGATTTTCTCTAACTAGTTTTGATGATTTTCAAACATAACTTGCTGTTTGGTGTTTGTGATATGGTTTTTCCCGAGAAGCAGCTATAGCAACAGAGACTGCGAATATGGAAGATTTCAAAGTTCATGTGTTCTCGTCCTCTGACGAGGTGAAATTGTTAAATCCCTTTTTATCTTTAGCTTGACTAGATACTGTTCCATTTCCATTATTGGCTTTTTTGGCAATTTTGTAGTTCCACAGAGTTATTTGTTCCGGAATCCCAATATTGGAAAATTTATGATTTTTTTGATAAGGTAAAATTGTATTAATCAAAAGGGAGAGAACTCCCGTGGAAGTATACCAAAAAGTAGAGAATTTACATCAGAACATGATTCTCTATAAAAGACCAATCTTCTATACAAGTAGGGGCTATATGAGTGCACAAAAAAGCGATCAAAGATAAAAGACTATTCTTAACATGTTATTCTTGGAGATGGGGTTTGCGTGGCGATGGTTGAATGTTGAATGAGTTGATAGATAATAGTTTTTACTATCAACCCATATAAAATGTTGAATGAGTTGATAGATAATAGTTTATGATATAACTGTGACCGGAGGGAAGGGAAATTAATTTGCTTGTAGGGACCCTCCTTGAGATGCTAGTTCTTATGGTAAACTCCAGTATAATTGCTTTGTGCTCAAAAATAAGATTGTGTTTGAAACATATGCACTTCTCCTCTTTCAATTGCTAGTAGTTCCTCTGCTACTAGTGAGTATTTAGTTGGTGGATATTATTCAGTTTTTTCTCATAGCTAGACCTTCAGTTTTAGCTCATAGCTATTATAATATTTCTTGATATAGTAGTTTCAGTATTTTAATGAGAAGGGTTGAGGGACGGGCCCATTATTCACCAAGTTTCGAACCGTGCTTTCTTGGTTTTCAAAAAGAAAAGAGTTTCAGTGTTTTGAGAAAATCAAAGTAATGCAGCATGTGATATAAGATGAATGAAGTCCAGCGAACTTGATTCTTGGCATCTTTTTATGCGTGCTCTTTTTCTCAAATTTAAGCTAGGCACAGATCATGTCTAATTGTTAAAAGTTAATGATCTAAAGCAAAAGAAAATGAATCAAATAAGTTCCCAGCATGTGCAATATTTCGACTATTAGCCATTGACAGTCGTCCACATTTTTAGTGCGTCTTGACTATAGTTAGATGTTTTTGTTGAAACAGTTACTTGAAAAGTTGCACGAGAAATGGAATTCAGTGAAGCAGCAACCTTATCCGGTAATGTATTCTAGCATATTTGGCGGAATCATTCTTGATCCAGCAATGATGGTTATTCCAATTGATGATCACATGGTTCATCGAGGTCATGGTGTCTTTGACACCGCTATTATTTTGGATGGGTATGAGTCTACTCTAGTTCCTGAAAACAATAATATTATAATTTGTGAATTGATCTCTCAAAGTATTAACTTTATGTTAGACTCTGGGATAAGTGGCAATATAATGGACGTGTATGCTAGAATAATTTTACACTTCATGTATTCTTAGATTTACTAAAGTAACAGATGCTCTAATGGAGTTAAGATACTAAGCTGTAGTTGTGGTTGATTCAGCTTCTCTTTGGTCTTCTAATGCAGTTATTTGTACGAATTGGATGTCCATCTTAACCGCTTCCTTAGATCAGCATCCAAAGCCAGAGTCGCGTCTCCATTTACATTTTCAGAACTTAAAAGGATTCTAATTCAACTTGCTGCAGCATCAAAGATGAGGAAAGGCACTCTGAGATATTGGTTGAGCGCAGGGCCTGGGGACTTCTTACTCTCCCCAGCTGGATGCCCAACATCTGCATTCTACGCTGTGGTGATTGACGAGGATTTCTCACAATGCAAAGAAGGGGTAAAAGTGATAACTTCTGCAATCCCCATGAAATCACCTCTTTTTGCCACTATGAAAAATGTGAACTACTTGCCGAATGTCCTCTCCAAAATGGAAGCCGAGGATAAGGGAGCATTCGCTTCTATTTGGGTTGACGAAGAAGGTTATATCGCTGAGGGTCCAAATGTGAATGTTGCTTTCATAACTTCTGAGGAGGAGCTGATTTTGCCTAGCTTTGATAAGATCTTAAGTGGCTGTACTGCTATGAGGCTTCTTCAACTTGCACCCAAGTTGATTGAGCAGGGACGTTTGAAAAGCGTCAAAACTACTGACATTATGGTTGAAGATGCCAAAAAGGCTGCTGAAATGATGTATGTTGGAAGCACACTTCCTTTATTACCTATCATTATGTGGGATGAGAAACCTATTGGAAATGGTAAGTCCACTCAACTAGTTTTTTTTGTCACTTCCTTTACAACAAGGTTGCTATGATGAATGCTTAATATGCAATATCTTAAATGGAAGCTGGAAATGTTGGCGTGCTCTTCTAGTTTATGTCTGACCCATTTGAATTAAAATTGGATGGATATCGATAATTTGCAACTTGCAAGCATAGGAGAGAAGAATAACATTGTTTATTGTGACAGGGGAAGTTGGAGAATTGACAATGGCACTCTCGGATTTACTTTGGGAAGATATGGCAGCTGGCCCAGAAACACAGAGAATTCCAGTTCCATATGCGTAGGAACTCAATCTCAAATCGAAGAATATGCTCTGATAGGATGCTCTGAAATCAATGTCATTCTATTTTCTAAGTAGTGGGTGGTTGCTCCTTGGTTCTGTGGCACAGAAGTATGACTTAAGCTTTACTTTGTGTGGAGATTCTCCAGCATTGCACAATGTTTTTCAAGTATTGACTGTCAGAAGTGAGTCAACCAAATAGTCTTGCAATGTATTGGTACATGAACTTTTCTGTTTTGTGTTTGGAATAGAATGCTTGAAAGAATGCAGAATATTGATCCAATCATTTTTGCCTCTACACAATACAGTGTTCTCAATTTCATTTGACATATGGTTCTGAGTTAACTACTACGAATCCATTTCTTAGCCAGATGGTTTCTCTTGATGCTTGAACTGAACTCGTATCCAAGAAATTCATTTCCTTCTGGGCATTTTGCGTTTCCTATAGTACATAAATGTATAAGTACAAATGAATTTTCTTTATTTTCCTGTGGGGTTTTAACCTCTTCGACCTCCCAATTGGGCGTACTAATCAGTTAGATGAAAATGGGTAATAGTTGCATTGATAATACTGTGCATTTTCTCTTCTCGAATCTCTTGAAGTGATTTATAATTATAGAATTCCACCACATATGCTGACTAGGGATGTACATAGGTCGGGTTGGTTTGGAATTTTCAATTATCAAACCACACCAATAGTGTTGGGTTTTTAAATCTATAGACCAAACCAAACCAACAAAGCCGAGTTTTTCAATCTCGATTTTCCTCAGTTTTTTTCGATTTTTCGGGTTTTTTTTCCTGGTAAATCTTCATAGCACAAAATATGTAACTTATGCTCCAAATATTTCTGTAGTCCTAGCACGATATAAATATATAATATATTTTTCAAGAAAATAATACAATAATATGAGAAGAGTCATAGCATTGTACTAAAATATTCAATAACAAAGATAATCACTACAACAAATATAATATTTCCTACAAAACTTTTAGCCACGACGAAATTCGTCACTAACTATTCACTTTTCGTGACGAAAATTATATTTCGTATTTAAATATATAAGCCACATACTTTTAGTGACAAAACATAAAATTTTGTAGCAAATATTTTATCCACTAAAGTTTCCCACCAAAAAAAATAAGTTGGTGCCATTATTGAATAACTTTAGCCATGAATTTTATATTATCAGTGACTTTATTTTGTCACTAATGGTGTATCTAATTTGTGACAAATCATAATTTGTCTTAAAATTGGTAAAACTTTGGACACGAAAAAATTTCGTCGCAAAAAATATGGTATTAAAATAGTGACAAATTGAAATTTATAGTTAACCATTGTAAACTTTAGCTACCAAAGTTTATATTTAATTATGACCTTAGTTTTTGTCACTAATATTGTAAATAATTAGTGACAATTATTTAATTATCTCTGTTTAACCTAAAATTTAGTCACAACAAAAAATTTGTCACGGAAAATATAATTTTAAGTGGCTACGACTTTTGTAGTTGAACAGGACACTTATTGGAGACGAAAAAGATTCATAGTTAAAAACTAAAAGACATACTTTTGTTCATGTATGATACATAAAATTACTTTAGGACTAAAGCACCCATATTGAAAAATTATCAAGTTCGAGAAACTTGAATCCCATTTTGTAAAGTTCTATTATAAAGTCTATTGCAAAATTGGAAAAAAAAATCAAATTAAAACCGTACTTATTTTGATTCAATTGCCATTTTTAATTTTAGAAAATAGAAAATCAAAAGGCCAAATTAAATTTAATAGAACCGGACCAACCAAAGAACACGATCACTTGTTGCTACAAAAATTTAGCTTCCACTTCACAATTTCTTGCGATTAGAAGGTTAGTCCCATAAATGATCCTCCTTTATTTGCCATTTTAACCTCATATATCTAGCTCATCATTTTATTAAAAATAAATAGCACACTTCTTTAGCTCACTTATCACAATTAATAAGTCTATCATCACATGAATACTTGTTAGGCTAACTAACCTAAGTCGCCCAAAATTACATATATCAAAATACAACAAAAATTGGAGTTCTATCCGTCAATAAACATGCATAACACAAACTCAATTTACTCTGAACTATTAGACTACATCATGTGATAAAATAAATAAAATGCCTAAAAACATCATAATACATTATTGGAATCATCAAAATGATAGTTCGGAGCCGTCTTCACAAAAGTCAAACTCCGATCAACTCTTACTGTTTAAACTTCTTAAACAAGAATCTTTCTCCCAAATTGATCCCAAATCATCCGAAATTTGAACTCGACCACACACGCTAGTCATAATACATAATACGAAGCTGATCGAGACTTTAAGCCACCAAACAGAATGCTAATTCTCAAAACGACAGGTCGGGTCGTTACATTTTTCCCCTCTTAAATAAACATTCGTCGTCGAACGTGCCAAGAATCGTTCCGAAGTCATCAGTCACTGAGTGAAGTTACCATACATACACCCGCGAGTGACCCCACGTCACCCCAAATCTACGTAAGCCCGACAACACCACCTCAACTGAAGATTTTTCCTTCCACCCATACCAATAGGCCTTAGAAACAAATTTCTCACCATCCGATCGTTTTCAAAAGACCTGATTCATACACCAACACACAGTATTAGCCTCAACTAGCTGCAATAACCTATGTCTACACTCACCATATACAAACACACGAAGTAGCATCTCTGATCACAATAGACGTCCATACTCAAACCCAGTACTGATAATTAACCTCATATCAGCTAGAACCATGTTCCAAACCTTCACAATACCGACAACGATACAAGAAATGTGCAGACCACATAACTATTCACTCGAATCAACAAGTCACATTACGCCACCCGGGCACACACCTCTCAAGCTAAAACCCAATAAGCACAATGCGAAAGTGACCGAGTATGCAAAGAGAAACATGGAGAGAACTACTGAACAAGCACGACAGGCACAACTTCCTATCAATACCACACCACAAATCAATTCCACAAGGGAGAATCAAAACATATGAACTAATCACAAGGATCTTATCTTGATATAACTTTCACCGTGGCACATAGCCCAGTTCAAACATATCAAACCACATGGAACGCGAGGATCCCATCCTCCGCTCTGAATCACAAGTAGTATACATATCATACCATTCGAAACCTTCCACTAATTCAATTCCGCCAATAAAATCACAACACATACTGAACTCCCACACCTGGGGAGCATCTAAACCACAAATCATAACCAACCATCCAGAAAACACATCAAACTGCCATAATGAGTAATAGAAATTAACTTCTAGTCTCATAGGTCTCAATAATGAATAAAATAAAATAAATGACATGGGCTACCACTATAGAATCTCCCAATAGAGGTAAACACATAAGCATAGTACAAAATAATGAAACTCACCCATATGTGAAGCAAAATAGGAGGATTCACCCCAATAAGTGGAACCGAAACAAAATACGAATGATGCGCCTCTATAACAAATTGAAACCATACATGTACAACATCATCTGGTGCAGTGGCCTCAGAACTACCGTAGAAATCACATCATCGGGTCGGGCCTCCCCCTCTTAGGTGCCCTCTACTCGCCTGACTTGCACCCTAAGCTGGCAGTGCAGGGATATTAACAACTGGAGATGAACTCATAGCTTGAATACCCCGTTGTGATGCATTTTTCTACAGTCTGGGACAATTTCTCACCATGTGGCTGGTATCTCTACACTCAAAGCAACCTCTCCGCTGGCATGGCTATGGAAGTTATTCGGCACGGGCACTCTGGGACCCATAGATATATGAAGCACCGCACGAAGCCTGAAATGCAAACTGAACTAATTGACCTACAAAACCTCTACCATGGCGTACCTTGCCTCCAAAATAGGGACTAGTATATCCTCCTGGTCTACGAGGCTTTTTAGCCTCCCTATCCTTTCTCTCCTGACCCTACATGCCCTCTAGTCGGCAAGCGATCTGTACCACCTACTGAAATGGAACATTCGACTCCAATTCCCACGCCATGTTGAACTGGATATCATGATTGATCCCCTCAATGAACATACAGACTCGCTCTCTAACTGTAGAAACCAAAGCATGTACATGTCTGGACAAATCACTAAATCTAATGGCATACTCTGACACTGACATAGTGTCGTGGCACAGTTGCTCAAACTTCGCACGCCAGGCATCTCGAAGAGTTTGAGGAACATACTCCCTCAAGAAGAACTCTAAAAACCAATCCCATGTGAGTGAACCTTCCTCGGCCGGCTACCCAACTCAAATGCTCGCCTCCACTGATATGCTGCTCCCTTAAGATGGACTGTAGTAAAAGCAACCCCACTCGTCTCCTTAATACCCATTGTGCGAAGAATATGGTGGCACTCATCTAGAAAACCATGGGCATCCTCTGAAGCCAAACCACTGAAAGTAAGAGGGTAAAACTTCGTAAATTTCACAAGTCTAAGCTACTCTTCCTCAGATGTTGTTGCCTAACCACGGGCTGAACTGGAACAACAAGTTGTGTCGTCATGACACTTGAAACTTGACCAATGTGTACTCGCTACTCTGGAGTACGGGCGGCGGGAGTCTGAGCTCCTCTCCCGATCTATGAAGTAGATGATGCAACTGGGATAAACCCCGCCTGAGCCAATGTTCTAAACATGCTCAGGAATTGTGCTAAAGTCTCCTAAAGTCCGGGGGCAACAACAGGCACCTCCGGTGCCTGTCCCCCAACAAGATCTATTGGCGGCTCCTCAACTGCTGCTCTGATAGGTGCTCTAACTGTAGCACGTGCTCCTCATCGACCCCTACCTCTGCCTCTACCCCGACCACTAGCAATATCGGCTCTGGAGGCAGCGTCTTCGGTAACTGAAGCTCGTGTCCTCACTATCTGTAAGAGAATAGGATGGTAAAGGCTCAATTTTGAGATCAATAAACTCACACGATAGAAATAAAGTGAAACTGTCCTAATAATTATGTAGCCTCTCAAAGATAAGTACAAATGTCTCTGTACCGATCTGCAAGACTCAACTAAACTCGCTTATGACTAGGAACACCTACGCACCTAGAGCTCTAATACCAACTTGTCATGACCTAATTTCCCTCCATAGGATGTCGTGACAGCATCTAGTCTCTAAGACTAGGTAAGCCTAACACTTAGTGTAATTATTAGAAGAATTTCACCATTAACTACTAAATATGAAATAAAAACCTTTATACACAACTTACAATTCCCAAAACCGGTAGTACAAGTCATAAGCTCTACTGAATTCGCT